TTTTATCATAGTACATCAGTTTCTAACTGCTTAAAAAAGGTTTTGAGTGTTAACCCAAAACGAAAATTGGGATCAAAACTCAACGAAAGTCTAGTTTTTGGCACTTTTTGCCATTATTGAAAAAAAAAATCCTCTTAAACAGAAAATATAAGAATTAAACTGACATATGGTCAGACAACTGAGTCAAGTCGACTTGTAAACGTAAGTTACAAAAACATTCGGGTTGTCGGAAATTTTAATTCAAAATTTGATGATCTGTTTGTGATTAACATACTTTTTTTACGTGCATAGAAATGCCGAGGACAGTACTGAGAAAAACGATAACAATTTTGTGGACGACGGTTTGTAAAGGTTTTTTTTGTTGACCATAGTTATATTAGAATGACCTTTAATGGACTGTAAACAGTAAGTTCATGTTGCCACTAACCGAGCTCAAAAGGCATCATTTCTGCTATTTTCTTTGAGCTCATCATGTGTAGAGCACGACAAGTTGTGTAGCAGGAAAATTGCAAATGTTTTCCTACATATTTACATCCACCTTAAGACTAAGCAAATGTATAAATGGAATGCAGTCCGAATAGAGTTCTTACTGATAATTTAAGTTAACCCAAGGAATTTTAGCTAGTCGAAAATCTCAGTTTCGACTGAAACGCTTTTGTTGTAACTAAGGAAGCCCTATAAGCCACGATTTACAATAATTTATAAGTTCTCCATTCCATTTTAAGGTATTATTTTCGACCATCATTTCCGTATGAGTTTAAAAGCTTGGTTTCCAGCTTAAAGCCGCGGGTGTCTTTTTTTATAATCTTTTTGCCTTTTTACAAGACCTGAATTTGAACTTCTAACACTGACTTTTCTAAACCATATTTTCTCTTTGCAACTGCTGCCCAATGTTTAGCCACATACCTGGAGTTTTAAAGGCACAGGACGCTGTCGCCAAAGCAACCCACTCTTCTTGCTTGACCTGACGTTAAAGTGAACCTTCAGCTCTCGAAATAAGTTTGTCAATTTTGTTCACTGTTTAAATGCTAAGCCGCATGGAAAACATTTAACTAGTATTATAATTATTAGGTACTAGACAGCTTTTTGTTCCAGGTTTAGCTTTAGTGCCTTGATTTCGTCTAATTACGTTTTATTCCTTCCTAGATGTGTGACAATGCGTGGAAGGACGTTTGCATTATCTCATGAGAATGAAACTTGAAACTTGAAACTCTCTTTACTTCCTTGTACGTTTTAAGTTACCGAGACATGAATAAACAAAAAGGTACAAAATTATGATGATAAATATAAACATTGAAAGCATTAAGAATCAGATGTACTGCAGTGTGAATCTAATATAGCATTTTTTGTTGAGTATCACTATGCTAGGCATACTAGAGCAATGGCGAACACCTTCACAGGAAGGACTTGATAAAGCTGCTCGTGAGATCTTTTCTGGTCATCCAAACGCAATGTTCCAGGGCCGTAACTGGGGGGGGGGGGTTATAAAAACAACTTAATCTATTGCCAACCACTTTGTATGTAAACTTACATATATATATATATATATATATATATATAAAACATCTGTTAGCAAAAGCGTACTTTTCCAACCAGAATTTAGAGTGAAACATCCCACAAAGGATGGTTCCTAAATTTGCACCCCAGTGATTGAGTATAACCATCCAAGAAAAAAATTAACTATGCAAGAAAAAGCATTTTATTTTATTATATCTTATTAATCATATTAAGCATTGCTTTTTGGAATATGTAAAATACAATAGGATATACTTAGTCTGTCAGGGCTATTTTAACGTCCTGACCGTAACTTACCCCCATACGTTATCAATGCCTGGCATGACTTATACGGTTCAAACACGAATGCAAGCAAAAATGGAAGAGCAAACGCAAACGCAATTTGCAAACTCCCTAAGCGCGCGGGATCACTGCTTTTAAGATATAACATGCAACATGCAACATGCAACATGCAACATGCAACATGCAACATGATGCCAATATTTTCAATTTTTTTAACCCCCAGGTAGAGAATTAGTGCAAGGGGCTATTATAGAGCGAATAACCCGTAGTCTGAAATGGTAGAACAGTTTAAAACTAAGAAGGGTTTTTGTAATTACTTCCCTAACGTTGATAAAAAATTAAAAAATCATTACATTAAAAATTGTGTCTAAGTAGCGTGGCTACTGATGGAAAAAAATGGAAAATCTGAGAATTTTGAGTTTATTCAAAATTATTCATTTACTCAAACGATTCCCCCCCTCCCCCTCATCAATAACCAAGGAAACTCTCAGGCGACAATAGAGAGTTTTAGATTTACGTTCACGGCAAACGTGAAACGCCAGTTGACCAGTAAAAAATTCTTTTAAATTACTGAAAAAGAATCGCAAAAAAGTCCAAGTAGTAGAAAAACAAAAGAGTATTTGCGCTTGGTGAGAAGGTTTGTAAAAGGTAAAGTAAAAGAAAAGAAAACTATGAAAACGTGGTCACGTTTGCCGTTTGCGGGGAGAAAAAAAAGTCAATCTAAAACTCTCTAATGCCCTCTTTTAAACTTATAATTACGAGCAGAAGGAAAAATGGTTGAATGAGGGTCCTGAAGGGGTTGTCCTAATTCCATTTCCCAGCCCCCATTTTGAGTAGATCTCATAGCCCCGGACTACGTTTTGCTCAAATCTCAACCCCATTCCCATTTTTATGATTGTTTTTATTTCGTTTGTGAATCCCATTCCCAGTGCATAAAATTCAATTTTCCCAGCTCAAAAAAATGCAAATCCCAGCTCCCATTTAACCCCTTCAGGAGTCACTTCAATGATCCTTCTCATTACCACACACAGTTTAAAACGACTATTAAAATCGTGTGATAACGTTAGATTTATTACCATTTAGGTCGGATGATTCTTCGCCTATTTCTTCTTTTCTTTGGATGAGATGTCTACTTAATCGTTCACTCTTTCTTTCTCCTGCGTGGGTTTCCTCCAATCCTATCATACCTATTGCCATTGTTTCTAAGCGAGAAGAAAGTCTGTCTCGAACCTCATTTTTATTTCGTTTCGATCTTCTCATTCTTGGAGGCGTCGGGACTCTAGTTGGGACCTCATTCTCATCTTTGTGCCATTTCTTCTTTATTTCTTCCTTTTCATAATTCAAATCGGCGGTGTTGACATTTTTACCGATCTGCGGCTGAGATTCAGAGTTCAAATCGTGAGCCAATTCTTCACTAGCAATAGCTGTTTTCTTTAGCCCTTTATTGAAATCTTCATTACCTTCATGGTAAGCTTTATTTGTAAGGCCATTTTCCTCCAACCCTATCATTTCAATTGCCATTGTATGTAAGCGAGAAGAACGATTGTACGTAAGCTCGTTTTGATTACTGGGCTCGTTACATTCTTTGCGTACTTCTCTTCTGGCCCTACGCGACTTGTCTTCCAAACTCTGTGATGAGCCACTCGAGCCGGTTCTCCAAACTTCAGATGACGTATCACGTGACAGGCGAAATGGCGATTGGCTGATCTGAGAGTCACGCGAAATGGGTCTATCCTTCACCTCATTTGAACCTCTTTCGATAATCGGGGCTTGCCACAGCGTTTTGGATTCGCATGAAATTGAGCTTTGTGGGGTTCTGGTAATAAAGGAGCCTGTGCCCGAGTCACATGACCTAGCTGAAGTAAACGAAGTGTCTCGAGGAAATCCAGTCATTTCTTGGGAGTTTCTACTTTGTGTCCTAGGAACCTCTGTGCTGTAGTATTGAGGATAAATTTCCTGCTTGTAACCAGATCTTCTGTTTTGTGGAGGTGTCGGCACTCTGGTTGGACTCTCCTCAACGTTTCCCCGCCATTTCCGGCTGTTTCTTTCTGATTCCACCGTTGCTGTTGTTGCAGTTGTTTCAGGCCTTTCCTCGTTTCTCAAAGAAATTTGTGTTTCGATTGAAGATAGATTTGTCTCAGTTTCAGTAGCTTTCTTCTTGAGGTCAGAATATGCTTTGAACAAAATGATCACAGCCGTAGCTGTAATTACTTGAAAAATAGCCAGGATGACAGACAGACACAATAAGATGTTGAGGCGAGTTCTTTCGCTTAAAGTCATCATGTAATCAGGTTCCTGTAAAAAGGAATAAAAAATAGAATGAAAAACTTTGGTTCAACCACCACCACTACCATTAGATAAGTTTTCGTATGACTGGGAAAAGCTCGCGGCACGAACGCGATCGTGACATGGCAAGGCATACACCAGACCAATCATGTTGCGCTAGAATCCAATCAAATACCCGGAACACGGCACGATCACGGTGAAGACACGCTCATCAAGAAGTGTCTTACACTATGGCGGATTAAAAGTGAAGAAGGTTATTTTCCACTTCAACTCAACGTGCCAAAGCGTGGCAGAGTGTAAGGGATTAGCTGTAGATATGGTCTGGGGGCCGGCTAGTCTCTCCCCTGATGCTTCGGCTAGAACACTATCCTGCGTAATCCGTACACCCAAGGGCAGAGGGACTTAATCGCCGTCATGTCCGAAGTCCATACGATGACCCAGCGGAAGACTCGGGGTATGGCATGAAGGCACTATTTTTTTTTCCTTCTGTATTTTAGAATTAATTATCTAATTAAAGTTGGTGGACGTGAGTTCGATTCCCACCTTATTAACAGAACTTTTTTCTTCTTCTTTCCTCTAGATTTTTTTTAAAAAATATTTTTTTAATTATTATTTTAAGCGACTTTTATTAATT